CTGGTCTCCTACCTCTGAGGCCGCGGAAGGAAGAGGAAGAGCCGGGGCCAGAGCTCCTCTTCTTCTGCCTCTGCACAGGTTTACCGCCCCCTGCCGGTCAGGAGGAGGAGCTACATGAGTGCGTCACTGCGGTGATGCTGTGATCACACAGCAGGTGGCGCTGTTTCTACTTTTTGTTATTTTTTTAATATACTATGCTATACTTGTTCTTTTAAAATTTAATACATTTATCTATTTATTTTACTAAAACTATGCTGTACTAGTTTATTTATTTATTTATTTATTTTTACGAACAGCAGAATAAATGAAAATGTAAACATATATAATTCATACGAATAATACCTACATTTTTTCCTTCTTTTTTTCTACATTTACATGTATTTATTTATTTTATGATTAATTTTATTATTTATCATTGTATTTATTCGATTTTTTTATTTATTTTTTTATCTATTTTATTATTTTTTATTTTTTAATGTAATGTCAACATGTAAACATTGTCCCACATTTTATTTAAGTTATTGATGTTATTTGTTATTGTTTATTTAAAAAATAATGAACAAATATAATAAGTCTGATAATATAATGAATGAATATTTGCTTCATATTCAAATAAAACATTATTACAACAGTTTCATTTAAATCCAGGTGTGTGCAGTGTGTGTCCATTATACTGTTGTGACACAGTGTTGATTCACAGAGTGACTGCAGGTGAACTGAGGACCTGACTGAAGCCTGAAGATGTCTATAGTAATCTGTGTTAACAATATACAGTCTGTGCAGACTGATCTGTTAAACTACTGTTGCTGCAGTTAATATACAAGAAACAAACACACTTAAAGAGGCTTTATATTTAGATGATTAATAATTCATTATGTGTTTATATTAGAACTAAAAATCAATCAACAGAACATTAATTTCAAGACATTTTTAAAGCCAAAGCACCAAAAACTCTCCTGTTTTAACTTTTATAAATGTCTCAGGTTTTTTCTTTTTCCTGTTTTGATGGTTGGACAAACTTAGAAAATCCTAACAAAGTTCAGTGTTTTCTGACATTTTATAGGCTGTAAAATTAAAACTATCCTGGCAGGAAACACTGTGATATCTCAGTGGAAAAAAAAAAAA